GCCAGGCTAGTCTAAGACAAGTTCGTAAATCCACGGGCCCTCCTATCCAAATGCCCGGTAGCTTTCCCCACACTTCAGAGGTCTCGCTAAACAAGGAAAACAAGGACCCGCTTATCCTCGATGGCATCCCTCATGGCATGAAGAACAAGAAGCGTCACAGAGCCAGCGCGGAAGAGGATGATGACGACGAAGGCTCCAAGCGAGGCATGAAGAAACTTCGCAAGAACCCGCCAGCACCCGAAGGATACGCCGTGGTGGCCCCTAAGCTTATGAGCCAATTATCACCCACTAGGAAGATGAGGATGGCTAGCTCCACGCCTCAGACACCCAGTCCCCAGAAGAAGAAGAAGCCCGGCCTGAGTCTGAGCCGACTCCATATGCTCGCCCAACCTAAGATCCGCAAGTAGTAGCGCCTTACGCTTTGCGAAAGACCATGCTGTAGATACTTGCTCGAGATTGACGGTCTGCGTTTATGGACCACGACTTTCACGTTTTAATGCCGTCATGATAGCCACGACTTTACTGCTTACTCCAAAGAGAGTGGCTTGCACGTTTGTTTCGGAAAATGTTTGACAGGGATTGCTTTTTCCCGGAAGATTTGGCGGCTTGTTGGTAGAAATTCCAACACTTGGCCCGAACCGCTCCACGTCATGATAATCCGTTTTGGTAGCCGCCACGGTTGCCTTGTTTCTAGTCCATGTCTATGTTGAGAAGGGACATAGCTTGTGGACATGGCCCTGTATGAATAAGAAATTACTTCCTTGTTTCACGGTTGGAGATCCGGGTCGGGCGGTATGGAGGCGTTTGTTTGTGCGGTACGGGGCGTTCGGCGGCGTAATGAGACAAAAGACGAAGGCGGGCTTTGAGCCGAGTAGTCCGGTCTAGACCGAGACCGAGACATGAGCAGTCCTGTGTATTATTATGAATTCTGCACCTGGCAGTAATCTAGATTGTTCAATTGCACCTGATCCAACCTGTTTTGTGTTCTGTCTTCATGATAACGCTCTTGAGGCATACTTACTTATGACCTCGGCCCAGGTTCGTAGATAGTCACTGCTTCATTTTAGAATCTCTTCGTATCAGGCGTGATGAGTGCTTAATTCCAGGATATACGATTGGGTAATAAACACTGTAGAGGGCCGCGAAGGAGCTGCCTCTGCAGGTAAATAATCGGCTCGTACCTGAGTTGAAACTACATAGGCACCTACCTCTCCTGCAGTCTCTGCCTAGGTAGTAAGCTTCTATCGATGTGACATATTGGCAGCGAGCATCATCTCATGTCAACAGCACCTTGGAAAGCGGGATAAGGCTTCTCCTTTCCTCGAGGAAAATTTGTTCCCATATCTATCCATCAATCCTAACTAAACCTATAATAACAATATTCCCCTATCTCTCTACATCCTTACCTACCTACTTCTTTTCTACACCCTACGCATCGTAGGCACCTACCTACCAAGCGACCTTATTCGTAGTTCCTTTAGTCACGAGTACGATGTCCCCGGGCCTACAGCAACAACCCTTTACATGTACCTTCTGCTGGCACGTCGTCCGCTACGGCCGCCCGTTCGTCCTGGGCCCCTCGGCCCGACTGGCCTGCGAGGCCTGCTTCCGCGGCATCATGGACCTCGCGATCTGCTAGGTGTGCGGCGAGGTCGTCTTCCGCGCCGACGAATGCGTTAGCCTCGGCTGGTGCTTCTGGCACCGCGCCTGCTACGGCTGCTTGTTTTGCGGGTGTCGACGCGTGGTTACGGCGCCGGGGGTTAGGGAGTTGTTTGATGACGATGGGGATGGGGATGGGGACGGGGACCATAGTGGAGGTTTAGGAACCGGCATGGGGAGGCAGATCCTTAATATTCCGATGTGCGTCAACTGCGCTGTGGCATGTGAAAACGACGATAAAGACACCTTGATGAGAAAGGCGCTCGGCAGAATTGATGTCGCTGATGGGGGCTTGAGCCGACAGAGATGGACAGCGTTGAAGAAGACGAATATCTTGACGCCCTTGGCAGAGCAGTGCCAGCTCGGCGGCGATAGTTCCATGGACATGCCCGAGTTGTCCGATATTCCCCTCACCATCACTACTCAAAATGAAGGCCAAGGCCAAGGCGAATTGAAGGCTAGGGATGAGGGTGAAAGTGAGAACGAGAACGAGACGACGATTGCAAAATTGCATTATCGACGATCGAAGGATCCCAGGTTCGCGGAACTAGAATGCGTCGTGCCTCTCGAGTCCTCGGTCTATGTGTCCATCCTCGACCCCCTCAACGCGCCGGCCTTCAGACCTTGCCCTGCGAAACCCCTGCCCGAATGGATGCGCCTGCTCCCCGCCAAGAACTGCCGCGAGGAGACTAGGCCGAGATCCATTCTCGATATACATTTCCCGCCTGCTGCAGCATTTGTGAGGCCAGAGACGTCGCCTCCGCTTTCGAGGGTCGGTGAGCTGCCGGCACACGAAGAACGGACGGAGACAGGAGCGGAAGTGGAAATGGGGATGGTTTGTCCACGCTTCCCCTCGACGAGTCGGCCTCCCGTGGCGTCGCCGCCCATACCACTCTCACCGCCGCAGCGCCGGGGTCTGCAACGGCGGACATCATCCGAGTCGCTGCACTCGCAGTTCCTTGACAGTGTCGAGAGCATGGGCAGTCCCAGTCGCTCCCGATCCCCAGCCAACTTCCGCTTCCCTTCCTCCGCGTCTCCGCCGCCGTATAAGCGCCCTTCGGCGGTGGCTGACGAGCCGCTGCGGCGACCTTCATCTCAACTTACAAGTTTAAAGGGTGTGGGTGAATATGAATACGCTGGTGCTGGTGGTAGCCCTGATGCAGTGGGCGCAAACGCGGACATGAAAACACAAGTGAACACGAATGCAAAACCGACGCTAGAAGCAAAAGGGAAGACCGTTGCCTGGGACAAAACCGTTGCCGGCGGCGAGAGCGAGAGTAAAGGCGACAGTGAAAGCAGCTGCGAGAGCTACGAGAGAAAGCCGATGGAGCGAGGGGATATTGGATTGCAGAGGGACGAGAGACCCCAGACCCCGCCGCAACGCCGTCCCTCGCCCCTGGCGGCCGTCTGGCATCGTGTCGTGAAGACGAGGACTCCCCCGGCGCAGTCCAAGGAGTTCCTCGACCTCTATGCGGCGGATAAGTCTGGTGATACGCGTCTGGCTAGTCTTGCGGTGCCGGGACGGCGGCGTGGGAAGGAGGTTGGGTGGGGGAAGGGGAGGGTTTGTTCAAAGTGCGGGAATGTGTCGAATGACTAACCTAGTCGGTTGTGCTGCGGTTTTGTTGGGTTGAGGAGTTGATTGGGCCGTTCCAACGTATATTGGTTTACGAACTCAAGGTTGTTTACCAGTAGCATTAGACAGAATGAATTATTTGAATTTCTTGAATACAGACCGGTGTGAAATTGGTTGGAGTATCTATGTACCTGTCTTGCTCCTTGTGAGCTCTGGGCTGTTGTAGGGTATACATCGCGTCTTCTGCATAAGTCTTTATCCCTCTTCCCCGACGTATGTAATGTACATCATTATGTGTGAGTGACAATTATAATCCTAGAGCGTCATACGCATGTGCGGCGCAACCTCGCCTCTCGTTCCAACCCCATTATCCTACAGTAACGTAGGTAACTCAGCATGTCCCGTGCGATATATGAAGATCCCCGTAGGCTGTGAAAGGACAGTGCTGTAGCAGAAAGCAAAAGTGGCAGAGAAACTAGTTCTTGACTTTCCGGTTCGAAGATGCTGTGCCCTGGCGCTGCGTGTAGAGCATGTACCCCATGACAGCGGCCGCGAAGGTGCCGAGGACGAAGAAGTTGTCTGGATGCGAGGTTAGCCAGTTGTATTAGTATTGATTCTACTAAACTACCTGGCAGACCATCCAAGCTGTCTAACTGTGGCTAAGACGTGGTAATGCTTAAACAAGACAAGTCGAAGAGGGCGTAGGAGGAGATAGAGGGGAGAGATTGGGAGAAGAAGGAATAAAGAAAGAAGGGAGAGGAACTCACCAAACGCAAATCCTAGCGTGCCCTCAACGAAGCCCACGAAAGCTTTGAACACGCCCATGATGCTGCTGAATACGAAGTCGATCATGTGGAAGATGGCGGCGAACATGCCAGCGATTGTCTCCCCGATCGACTCGAAGAAATGCGTGATTCCGGATGCTATGCCCATTTTCGCCGCAGATTTCCGGGGTTCTTGGGTGTTGGGTGCTAGGTATTGGGTCCTGGGTAAATCCAATGATTTGCGGTATACTTGAGTGTCTCTTTGGGACTTTGAGGTATATGTTGTGAGTATTGATAATTCGTGTGGATGATGTTCTGATTTCAAGTGTTGAGTGAGGTACAGTGATCCAAGAGGTAAAGTAATGCGTATAGTATGTCTAATGATTTATAGCTGGGTATTTGTAGGGAGACTATCGAGCACCCTTCTATCTATTCCTTTCTATTAGGTATACATCTCATCGCCTTATTATACTTGGGTATGCGCCACACCGCATGCCTAATGGTCAATATGACGGGACATACGTCAGTCTCGGGGCGTAAACAAGGCAGTACGTGATGGTAGAATGTCATGAGACGGTAGCTGTAAGCTTCTAGGAGTAAACGGCCCGGCCAAACAAAGAGTACGTTGCACGGCGATGACGAGAAGCATTGTTGATTTATGATGGTGATGTCATCACTACTGGGCAAGTACTGTAAGTATGCGTGAGCAAATAATGGTAAAAGGACAAGCTCTCCCTCCCCCGTTTCGCTTAGGGTAGACTGTGCTTTTTAGGACTGCCAAATAGGGCAGGGGCATACTGTTGCCGGGCTTTTGATTGGTTGGAGCTTTGAAGGTGTTGGTTGTCCAACATCGCAAGCCCGAACCTAGCATACAACGAAAGATATAGAAAGATAAACATTTTCAAGAATAGCAAAAAAAAAAAAAAAAAAAAAAAAAGGGGTAGCTAGCAATGCGGAAAAGGAGAAAAAGGGAGGCAGAACAAAAGAACTCCTATGAAATCTATCGATCCCGGCCGGACTCGAACCGACAATCTCTAGAGAATCAGATATCGCCCAGATGAGCTAGAAATTTAACTAACTAATCCATGCATCGCCGAAATCTAGCGCCCTAGCCATTAGGCCACGGAACCATAGTGGAACTACATACATTTCGGTGTTGTTGAATCCGCTGTGACGGTCGGTCTCGTTGGCAGGTAGTTTGAGTGTTAGGGGGCATAGCTGCAACTGGATGATGGCTTCGATATAGGATAGGTGGACTAGGAGAAGTGTAGGAACTAGTGTAAGTGAATGTTGAAATGGTACCGTTGTTGAGGCATATGGGGACTGAAATGTCCGTGTGACTGTGATTTGCTGTCTGAGGAAAGCATTTGGGGAGGAAAAACGCCCAGACATTCTAGACATTGGTAGACGCCGTCATAAAATCATATGATAAAGTATTACCTAGGTATGGAAACTAGATTAGTTAGTGGGGTCCGTTAGTTACCTACGGCATTACTTACATGTCGTTGAAAGTGAGTATGGAGCATAGATGACGGAATATAAAGAACAAATAATAAAACAAGTATTGGGGTTGTTGCTTCAAACAATTTCGTACAATTCTAGCAAGACACGTAGATCTACCAACCAACTAAAATCAAAGCTGGCCATTTTTTTAAGCCCCATCAAGAATGTCTATTTCGTATTTTCACCAGTTAGGTAACGTAGGTACAAGACTTTGCGAGGGGAGACTGTATGCACAAATTCGAAGGAGCAGTCTAAGTCCTAACGAGCATCGACCTTCGTTTTCTATGTTTTTGTCTTTCCCGAGTATCTCGTAACAAAGAAAAAAGAGAGAGAACCATTCAAGCTTATCTAGGGCGTTTGGGTGGGGTAAAATGAGGTAATAAATGACTTGAACAGAGTGGTATTATAGGAGCTGTAACAGAACGTATTTTGTGCAAAACGCCACCCAATGCCCGACATCCCTCATTTCAATCATCGTTCAACTTCAAGAGATATTCATGTCATTGCTGCTGGGGGTGCGCGTCGAGATCTACGTCCGCGACTAGGGTCCGTTGGTGTGCGCTGTTGCGGACGAGATTGCTGAAGTACTTGAGGGCGACCTCACTTTCTGTACGCGTTTTCAAAGTCTCGTCTCTGCGTGAGCCTAATTGCTCGACCGAGCGTGTCAGGCCGACGCGAAGGTTGTCGGCTGGAAACCGGAGAACCTTGCGTACGGAGCTGGCTATACGCGTACTGTTTGCGTGCACGTAGTCCATAGATTCCAGCTGTGCGGAGAGCTTGGCTGATAGGCGGTGAGGCAACGACTGTGGGATCTGTTGCAGAACGTATGCCGCGGCAGATACAACTACACGGGTTATAATTAGTCAAGGCAATATATGTATTTCTGAGAAATGGAACTTACCTGCAATAGCAATGGCTGGTACAATGAGTTTCCGGAGATTGTCATTTCCGACAATTTTTGCGGCACTCATTGCATGGTCTACCCAACTAGATCCGCCAACTAATCGCCCGCCTACAGCAGTCGCTAAAGTCAAAGCCATACCGGTACCGGCCACCTTCTCCTGGCGCTGCATAAGCGTCGACCAGTCGACGAGATCCCAAAGCTCGGTGGGTAAGTCGATTTCCTTAGCTAGAACATCTCGTCGCCTCCGGAACATAACATCGGGTCGGAAGCTCAGGTCATGGTATTCGTTGCCAAGATGAAGAATGCCAAGTTGTTTGATAGCATTTACTCCATTGACCGTCTGAGAACGGGCATGATCTTCGCAACTGGTGACGGCGGTCGAGATCTCATTAAGCATTGCTTCCTTGAGGTCATCGGCGAAATCGAATACCCCGAGCAATCCCGGATACGGCACGCCTAGAGTGCTGTCGCCAGCGTGGGAAATTGCTGAGTGGAGGGTATTTCTTGCGTGATCATATATCTCCTTGCAGGTCACCTCGATGGTTTGGTCAATCTGATCGCCTACTTCTGATTTTGCCTTCTTAGAGGATTCTAGTTGCGGCTCAATTTCCTCCAAATCCTTTGACACGCGGTTTATCTCGGATTGCGCGACCTCTGCGTTGACGGTGGCAAGAACGTGAACATCATTAAGAATGTTCATGAGATAAGTCTTGGCAGGGGTTAGCTTGGACCGTGCTCGTTTCTCTAGAACGAAGCGCCTCAAAGACTGCTCTAGTGCCTGGAAGTCTTCAAGTTTCTCCTTTTCCTTCCCTTTGCCTTTGGGATCATCATTGGGCTCGTCCCCTCCACCACCTCCACTAGAACCGCCACTGCCACTTCCGCTGGGACCGCCTGGAGGTGAATGTCCCATTGGGATGGCATTACTCGACACGAAATGTACTAATTCGGAGGATTCTTTGTATGTCCGAGGACTCATGCCATAAACCTGGTCTAGAATGAGCTTCTGACATCGCTCTTTGTCACGAATCATATCAAATCCGTTGACGACCATGAAGATATAAGCTTTCTCGGCCGCCGCGGCCCAGATGAACTCCTTAGCCGACTGCGTAAAGTGATTAGCCGCAGAGACGACGAAGACAACGACGTCAATCTCTTCTTGACGGGCAAATATAGCCGTAGTCTTCGTGGTGTCCGAGTTAAGGCCGGGAGCATCGATCAGCGCAATATCCACCACGCCATTGTTCAGCAGGGATTCGTCTACGGAGCGAATATCTTTGACGTAAACCTTGCATTGCATGTAGGTGGAGTTATCGAGGACGATCTGTTCAAGTTTGGAGAGCGGGAATACATCATACGTCGATTCGTCGTGTCGGTCATAAGCCTTAGCGTCCCTGTGCACGGCGTGAACTTCCTCCAAGCCCCCGTTCTCCCGTGCATCCAGAACCTCGCAGAAAATGCTTGTGCAGGGCTGTTGGTCTTCGGGGAGCACCTTACGTCGTAGCAGGGCATTGCAGAAGGTGGATTTGCCGGCGTTGAGATCTCCGGTGACCAGAACCTTGCTGGAGGTGTCATCGATTCGTTCTCGCAGTGATGTCAGATGTTTTATGCTCGTGCGTATCTTGCCATCGAGCAACGACGCCACAGAGCTCTTTTCTAATGAGTGAACGAGCTCGGACTGGTTCAGGGCACCTAGCTTTAGGTCGAGCTTGAGGACAGAAAATTCTTGTGCGATTTGAGGTGTTATTAGGCGAGGGGCTTCTACGGCAGCCTTGGTTTCGGCGGCCTTGCTAGACTCGGCAGCATCGTTGTCGGGGAACCCGGTCATGGACCGGCGTGGCGGCGGCGGCGGATGTGCGGGTTCAGCGACGGTGGAGAATGTGCGGTGCAAGCCGGGACCCGGGGCGGATCGTTCGGATGCAGACGCTTCGGCGCGCTGAACGGAAGGGTAGTGGACAGGCCAGGTAGCATTCGTCTCCTGAAGACCTTGGAGGAGATCAACAACCCGGTTGATGGAGCGGCCCAAAGCGACTCGCTGCTGATTGTACCAGAGCTGTGCAATGGCAGTAGCTTGGTTTCGCTGATCGGTCTCGGGATTCCCAGACTGACGTGCTAGTATCGAGTCCCCGTTGAGGCTGGGGTCGGTTCGAGGCGAGCCGAGGGGCAGCTTGGACGAGCCGGGCTCGTCGCCGGCGAAGCTTCCGCCGTACCCCGAGTCACGCTCGAGCATGGATTGCAGTCTCGCGGCATGGTGTGAGGTTGAGCCACTGCCGACAGTGACGTATGCCGGTCGCCCGGCGCCGGCTCCGTTTGCTGCTCCTGCCCCGGGGGTGGTAGGGTCGCGGGCCGCGTCGTTCGCTGAGTCGTCGCCGTCGTCTCTCACCGCTCGGGCAGGGGACTTGCCCTTGGACATAGGTGGGAAGTATTCCTGGCTCATGGCAACGGCGGCAATCGCTAGATGTCGGGATCCATGAAAAGTGTCTAAAAGCCAGTTCCGTAGAGGTAAAGACGCAGGCTGGAGTATGACTTGGGTTGTTATCGCGGTGGTTGTTGATGAGGGCTTTGGAGGGTGGTTCGAGAAAAATACGACGGTGACATGATAGGTATTTTGGTGGCATACGGTCTGCAGAATACCCGCCCGGGCGGCAACATTGCCTATTCTGGGGCTTCTGGGGCTAGAGTAGGTTATGTCATCCTACCTAGGTGGGGAAAGCTCAAAAAGCGCTGGTCTACATGCGCACTTAAATCTGGACACTGTGCAACGGTTAGGTATTCAGTCCAATGATTGACAATGGGGTGGAAACTATAAAATGCACTAGAACACGGCCTATGTTGTGAGGGTTATACAGTGTATAATTCCTGAATTTACTGTATCTTGGGTGGGTTAGCGGGTACAATGTACAAGTAAATGCATACCTACAGCATTGTAGGTGCTGTAAGACAAGCACATGCTCTTGACGTCGTTTGGTTCTTTTCTAGGAAATGGTAGTAGCCTTGGGCTTGTCTATCTTATCTTCCTCCTCGTAACCGCTGATCGATCTTACTAGGTACCTAACCTACTAGGTACTACCTACCTAGTAGAGAGCCACATCAACAACACAAGACGCAATCTACAAGCTCTCGCCAGGCTCCAACAATTCCGAGACGCCTACTTATCGTACATCATACACCTGGTCATCTCTTCCCTGGCTAGACTAGGCAACTAAATTGAGCCATTTCGTCACAAGAGCAACAATGAATGTGAGAACAATTATTTCCGATCACTAGAACACGTCTCTCATCGAGTCAAGCTGCTGACGGTGACTGGTGCGGCAGATCTTAGAATGGGCCTTCGGCAAGCGCATGACGCCAGCCGAGCGTCTGCGCAAGAACCAGCGCCTCCTCGACAAAGCGATACGCGAGATCGACCAGCAGAAGGTCAAGCTGGAGAGACAAGAAAAGCAGCTCGTGACCCAGATCAAGCAGAGTGCCCAGAAAGGCCAGATGGGAGCAGCCAAGATACAAGCAAAGGACTTGGTACGAACAAGAAGGTTAGCAACATCGATATGCCTCGTTAAAAGCACCGACCCTCGGCTAATCTATTGCCCTTCGTGCTCCAGGTACATTGAGAAATTCTACGGCCTTAAGAGTAATCTACAAAAGATATCCCTCCGACTTCAGGTACGTATGCTAGTGCCCATCTGCAATACTGCGTGCCGCTAACGTAAGGTGCCTATAGACGCATCG